TTTGTACGTCTTCCATGTTACTTCGATAAAAACATTAAATTGATTCGTCTTTATAAACAAATCATATACTATCTAGTGTCCTCAGAATTTTTCTTAACTTACGTCCGGACGGCAGACGTTATGCGTTTGTGACATGGGTATATTGGGATAGGTGAAATCTGAGGCAATGCAAATATTAAAAGAATTTATGGACATCTATATACAGGGTGTCCCAAAAATGTCTCGCAATACGGAAATGGTGGGTTCCTCAGATCATTTGAAGCAGCTTCTTCCTTTACAAAAATTTTCTCCGAGGCACCGTTAACGAGTTATTAACGAAAAACAGTGACCAATTAGAATCGAGGACGGCTGACGCGAGGCGGCCCAGCCAACCAGCGCACGAAGCCCAGTTACGCTTATTGGCTCGATCGCCTCGCGCCAGCTGAGCTCGCCTCTCATTGGTCACTGTTCTTCGTTAATAACTCGTTAATGGTGCCTCGGAGAAAATTTTTGTAAAGGAAAAAGTTGCTTCAAATGACCTGAGGAACCCGCCACTTTCGGATTGCGAGCCATTTTTGGGACACCCTGTATATATGTATTATCTTCAAGTCACTGCAATTATTAAAGAGTGAAGGAAACGCTTTGTTGCAATCGTTCAACATAATTTTTCCAATTAGAAATCGTTAATCAACGCTCCAGTCGTACGTTTCGAAAATATGAAACTTCTCGAACGTGCGACGGGAGCAAATATACGAAGAAACAATTCTTCGAACGGCGTTCCCATTCAAGTTTGCGCGTCGAATGTTTGTGGAAGCGGTTCAGCCGGGCTCTTTTGCCGCGAACGTGCTTCAGGATGCGGTCGATGATCGATCGTGTGATTTGCACCGATGAACAGAAGAAAGCACTTCCAACAAGTTCAATTGGCCGTCGAGCACTGCTAAAGGTACTACGTGCATGCACATGTGTAGACTCGGCTGGCCTGTTCTTAATGGGAATAAGCTCATTCATCCCATATGAAACGGCGGATCACGTGACCTCCGATCGTCTAGGTCTTTGATGTATGGTCATCACTGGCAATTAGCTGTCAATTCAAGGCCGTACTTGTGTCTCCGAAACCCCCGAGCCCTAAGTCTCGAGTGGCAATCATCCCCGAAGAAGAAAGACAAAACTGTGCCGTAACATTTGCCGATGGGAACCAAATAGTTCCCCCGGCTACATTTGATCCTCGAGGTCGAAACGTTTCGCTCGCACCAACAGCCCTCTGGAGAACACGCGCGCACTATGTACATTTATTATTATATCATTTATTTATTTATATTTATTATATATTTATATATATATATTTATTAATATATAATAATATATAATAATAATATATATATATTTATTATATATTTATATATAACATATATATATATTTATTAATATATAATAATAATTTATTATTATATCATTTATTTCGTTCGTAAATATCTCTGTTTTTATCCGATGTTATCGTCAGCAGTCCCATTTTAACGTTTCGTCCGCCGCGCCAACAACCTGAAAAACGAAATCAATGTAATTTCACTGAATAAAATTCAAATTATAAGATCAGAATTGCAGATCCTAATAAAATTGGAATGATCTAATATATTGTTTTGATTATTTTTTAATATTAACAATGTAAGCGATAAAAAATTTAAAAAGCGAGGGTTTTTAATTTTTTCTTTTCATTCCAAGTGATAGCAAAATTAAAAGAAAGAGCTTTTTAGCCATTAAGTAGTAGATTAGTCCCTCTATCATCTAAAAAACTATTCAAGTCATTTAGTTCAGTTTTAAAATAGTTATCGCATTTTAAAAGGTGTACGAACACTTTTGCTGTAACAATATATGTAATAACTTCACTGTAATAATTAACTAACTAACTAACTAACTAATATAATAACTTTACTGTAACAATATCTGAGCAAATAATAACTAACTAACTAAATAACTAATATAATAACTTTAGTGTAACAATATCTGAGCAAATAATAACTAACTAACTAACTAACTAATATAATAACTTTAGTGTAACAATATCTGAGCAAATAATAACTAACTAACTAACTAACTAATATAATAACTTTACTGTAACAATATCTGAGCAAGTAATAAAATAGTAATAATAAAACTGTCGATTAACGTTTCCTATTATGCAGTCATTTTATAATGTTCACCCTGTTTGCAGTCTCCAAATCTGCCGGTTGGATCTGCGCGTAAAGTCAGGCCGTGGAATAGACTGTTTCGAGCAAATAATTTGGTTATTAAAATAGCGATAAATCCGAGTGTTAGATCGTCGTTCCCATTATTTTCAGACTTCGACGCGCGATTTAGTTCACCGAGGAGAGTACATTTTGGATGTATGTACTTCGAAAAATCCCCGGCCGTGACGAGTTAATACGGTAGAACGTTGTATGCGCAGAGGCAACGTATTCATTATCCGTTTCCTTTTTACAACACTTCCCTCTGCTCCGATGCGTGTTTACGTTATCCGTGTTTCGCATAGCTGCTTTGGGTACGTTTAGCCAGAAACGTAAGCGCGCGAAAACTGTCCGAAAACTGACAAATCAAAGTTGGAAACGTTTTCTGCCAAATATTGCAAACATTCGAGCCGCGTACGCCATGAACGAACCAATTAAAAATAGAGCGTTTTAATTAACCGGGAAAGGTTCTAATCGGCCGGGTTTATTAATCGTTAACATCCTCTTTTGTTTTATCAATACGTTTCAATGAGCACAACTCTCGTGAACACACCGGCGTGGTTAATCAGGGCGCTAACTTATTAATCTCCGGAGATAATGACTTTTCAATATTCGTAAACAAAATGCTGATTCCGATTGTATCGGTAAATGTGATTACTTAGAGGGGTTGCTAAGTTTTTTTATCGTTTGAATATCTCGAGCGATTAGAATTCCGGCTGAAAATTGACTTTATTATTTGAAAATCTTACCGTACACATTTTTTACCTAATTGCTGGTACGGATAAAACAGTGTTTATGCTAAGTTCTAACGATTGTTCGTGAATCGGCTGCGGCTGTTCTGTCTCGGAACTATTAAATTGAAAACGTCCGATAGTGTCCCGGATGTCTTCCAGTACCCCGAAGATTCAATTTATTACAAGGGCGACAATCTTCGCAGACCTTCTCCGTGCTTCCGTTCTTAAATGCTGCGGCGAACGATCGAATTGCCACGCTCAACCGTGGAAATTAGCGTAGAAGAATTAACTGAACGAAATACCGGAAGTAAAATATATTTTCTAATAACTAAGAACTGAGGATTCTCTTAGTTAATTGTGACTTTATCAGTTGTGTCTACAAATTTTAAGTCACACGAATATTGTTTAGATAATAATAATTTTTACACAATATATTGTTTAAGTATAAACAATATTTCTCCCTAATTGACGCTCAACTTGGAAACAAAAAATGGACAGTTTGGGAAGGGGAGGAACGATCAATCGAGCCTCGCGTCTCGTTTTTATATTATTTGTTGACGATCGGTAATTATAAAAACGAGCCGCGAGGTTATTTTAAAATGATAAATTAAATAAAATAAACTTAAAAATACTTTAATAAAGTATCCCCTCTTCCCAAATTGTCCATTTTTGTTTCCGAGCCGTTAGCGTTAATTAGGAAGACTGTACTAGGAATTACCAAGTCGTATTCCTTCGGTCCATTAATTGCAAAATTAATTTCCTTCCGCAACGTATCGACTCTTAAATAGCGATTTTTACTTGAATTTGGAGTTTGTCGAACTTTGAACTCGAACGAATCTTCAAATTGTCGCCCTCCTCTCCGACTTTCTGTTTAATTTTCCGAGCAAAGGATCGAGCGTCGTTGCAAAGTATGGTCGCCATTTTCGATCTACACACGAAACCAATATTGTTTATTGCGTCAACGTTAACCAACAAAATTATTTTTCGTGTTTTTTTTTCGAATTCGCAACGATGACGATTACGATTATTATCGCCTGCGTACGTCACCTCGATGAACAAGCACCAGGTAGAAATTGATTATACTTTTGCAATGATTTTACTTCCGATAAAGAAGATAATGCTTTATGTATCAAAAATCGTTTCCATTGGCTGTCGATTACAGCGATTGACAGCATATATGTACATACTACGATAGCTTCGTTTCTCGACAAGAAAAAGTGCCGATTATCCAACATTATTGAAAAATTGTTGAATTTATAGCATCGATTACCAAACCGCGTTACACGGCGTAAACATTAACGTTCGAGGAAGCGAACGAAGGCGATCGTAAATACAATTAACGTCTCTTAACATTTCGTACAATTACGAATTCGAAAATTATGAATTATGAATTCGAAATTATGAATACATGAATACATGTCGCTGTATAAACATTTCTGTCCGAAGAAACAAACAAAGGCGACCCTAGGCATTTGTAAAATTCTAAATTCGAACATGGTGCAGTACAAATATTTCGAAGAAGCGAAAACAGGGTTGGAATAAAATAAATTGGAAATAATTTTAAATATATATAATATATAATATAATATTACATATTATTATATTATATTATTATTATATCATTATA